GTTGAAGTTAAACCATCAACCGTCTATGCCGGAGCTGATCTCTTTATCGCCGCTACCCAGGCCACACAAGTATATTATCTGCCTTACCCATGCCAGAAAGAGTACCTAAAGGGTTGGGAAGTTGTGTTCAAGGTGTCGCCGCATGGTAAGCTACCGGACCCGAACGATGATGATTACTACAACATAAACCCCATGACATACGAGGGAGTGTTCTATCAAGAGGAACATGATGACGTGGTCCGAAGCAACGAGGATGATGACTTGGGTTATGTTGACCTGGACCCAAACGACGACGACGCACGGATTGATGGTGAGGCAATTGTGAATCAAAGAGACATAATTATGCTTGAAAAGTTAAATGAAGACGCTGACAATGAGGAAGAGCCTCCACCTCCGTCAGACAACGAAGAAGATATGCGTGATAGTGATGATGAGACCGGTCCACAAATAGATTACAATAGTGATGATTCATATGGGTTCTAGAAAATGTAAGTTCTTTTAATGATCATTACAATAGTATGCTTAATGTGCTCTTCTGGTATTAATGTTTTTCCTGTATGCTTGTTTAATTGATATCATTACTAATTGTTTATTCTCTTCTCAATGCAGGTTTAATAATCATGGGCAAGTCCAGCGGCGCTAGTTTCCTCAGTAAATTTAAAGGACTTACTCGGAGTGGACGAGCCCACAAGGTTCCCTCCCGACTACGCGAGGATGACACCTCACAGGGAGGTGGAGGGGTCGGAGGAGGAGACCCTAGAGGAGGAGGCAGTGGGGGGAGAGCCCCTAGAGGAGGAGGAGGTGGGGGAGAGGCAACCGGGGCAAAAAACTCCGGGCCGTGTCTGAAATAGGAGGGTCTTCTTTGATGCCCTCCTATACAGAGGCACCTTCTGAGTCTGAGGAGGAGGAGTATGTTCCTGATGGCGAGGAGGAGGAGGCCGAGGAGGAGGGTGAGGAGGAGGAGGACGAGGAGGAGGGTGAGGAGGAGGCCGAGGAGGGTGGAGGGGAGGTTGATCCCGCGTTGTGGGGTGACTTGCCACCGGGTTCTTCGCAGGGGTGGCTGCGTGGTAATGCCGGACTACCTACACCACCTTCTATCGAGGAGCACAAGTGGCTCATTGAACCTGTGGGGACAGAGTAAGTGCCTCTCAATCATATTTTCAACACATGACAATATTTTCTTATTGTACACATGGCAATCATTTGATTCTTTTGCAGAAACTGGATCCTTCACGGAAAGGGCCGTAAACCGAACGGCCTGGCTTATTCTGCCCGCGGCTAGACAGGGACCCGCAACAGCGGGTTTTGGCCACGAGCTGGGCCCACTACGAGGCTTGCAGCAACGCGGAGTATGGGACGACCGCTAAGGCCGTGATCACCAAATTTTGGGTAAGTTCTCTTCTGAATCACTTGTCTTCTGTTTCGTTCATAGTTTATCATTGAATCACTCAACTCATGCCTTGTTTGCTTCTGGTTTTTGCATGATTGCAGCAACTCTATAGAGTTCTTGGCGAGCACAAGGCCAAAGCCGACGTGGTCTTGCTTGCGGCTGCGAAGAAGAAAGCTCATCAGTTGCAGTACGAGGTGCACTGGGTTGCCGTCTCGCAGTACTACCACTACTACCTGCAACAAAAGATGCCCAAAACTGAAGCGCAGAAGCTACGACTTACCTTGAGCAAGGAGCAGTTCATGATGGTAACTATTACTAACTTTTCATTGTTTCAAGCAGTCAACTATATGTTTCGTGCTCACATGTCATGCTTCCAAAATTTGCATAGGTTGTTCCTCGTTGGTGCTATGGAAGGCATGACGGATGGGCGAGTTTGGTGGATAGGTGGCTCGGCGCCGATGTAGAGTTTGCTGCCAAGAGCATCAAGGCCCGGGCTAACCGTGGAGACAATGGGACACACGGCCAAGGAAACAGGAACCACTGGGGCATCAAGGCCATGAAGGTATATCTATGTGCATGATGCATTTTTGTTCTTCTTTACGTCATGTTCTTATGTATGGCTGACTTCTATTTGACGTTGTAGGAGGACAAGTTCAAGAGGCCGCTCTCAGACATGGATTCGTGGAAGCTGGCCCGCGAGCGGAGTCATCTCAAGGAGGGCGAGAGCCAGTACTATGGCAAGACCGAGGAGCACCTGGGGTCTTACATTCATCACTATCAGGAGTTGCATCCGGATGTTCCTGTTGTTGAGGTCGCCCAGTCTCAGATCGACGACACGGCGGTGGTGGCCATCCAGGGGAAGAAGAATGGCCGGTATCCGTGTTTCGATGGCTTGATCACTCCTTCGATCTCGTACACACGGCTTCGGGCTAGCAACCCGAGCCAGTTAGAGAGTACGGGGCGTTCACAGACTCCCTTAGCCCGCCAGCATGCTGTAAGTACTTCCTCTTTATCTTTTTCTATCTTGCATTCTCAGTTTATTTTCAGCATTGCTCACTTAGAAACAACCTAAATTATGTAGGCATATAAGGAGTTTGTCGAGCATAGGAATCTCAAGGTGCGGGAGTACTTGAAACGAGTGAAGGCAAACGATGATTACAACCGTCAGATGATGACGGTTAGTTTTGCCCTCTTAAAACCAACCTAAATTTTTGCACTTTCATTCCTTCTGATCTTCTAGTTTGCTTGTTTAACTAACATTCAGGCTATGTTGGCGTCTTGGACTAACCGCACGGATCCACCACAAATGGGACCCCCACCACCACCTGCGGGAGAACCCCCACACGTGCCCACGTTCGATGAATGGGTGGCACTAGGCAGTGATGGTCCGGTTAGTACATTTGCCTAACTACTAGCAAACTAGTTCTCGTTCATGAAACACTATCATATCATATTTACCGTTAGAATCTTTTCTGAAACATGTAGGGGACCGGTGGCTCGACTCCTGCTCCGTCGACCCCAGTCACTCCGATCTAGCAGAGTGGTGGTGGTCGCGATGGCGGTTTTGGCGGAGGTGGTGGTGGTGGTTTTGGCGGAGGTGGTGGTGGTGGTTTTGGCGGAGGTGGTGGTTTTGGCAGGGGTGCTCTTGCTTGATGATTCCGTGCATGTGGCCATCGTGCCATGCCTTTCATATTCCTACTTTTATCATGTTTCATGTCTTGCACTATTTTTATGTTCATGAACTTCCATCGGTAATGATCTTTAGATGATGTGATGAACTTGAGTATGTTTAGATGATGATGGTGAACTTGAGTATGTTCACATGATGAATTGTCATATTTCTGCATAATTTCATATTGTTCTGTTTTGAAATGTTGTCAAATGAATTGGAAAAGAGAAAACAGGGAAAAAAACAAAAAAAACTATGCCTACGGCAAAGCCGTCGGCATATATACGCCCAGGAGTTACCAGGGCTTGCCACGTGGCACATCTATGCCTACAGCAAAGCCGTAGGCATATATGAAAAACTATGCAGACGGCTTTGCCGTAGGCATAGCCCTGCTGCCAGGAGAAACCAGGAGCTGCCACGTGGCAGAGATATGCCTACGGCAAAGCCGTCGGCATAGATTTCCATCTATGCCGATGGCTTTGCCGTAGGCATAGCCCTGCCGCCAGGAGAAGCCGGGGGACAACACGTGGCGCAGGTATGCCGACGGCTAGGCCGTCGGCATAGATTTCCATCTATGCCGACGGCAAATCTATGCCGACGGCCTAGCCGTCGGCATACCTGCGCCACGTGTCGTCCCCTGAATCGCCAGCGCTGTTGACGGCACCGTCCGTTGCCATCAGACGGAAAACAACGCCGAGGGCTAAACTATGCCGACGGCTGTCCCACGGCCGTCGACATATGCTCCTATGCCGACGGCTATACTACGCCGACGGTCTGACACATCTACGCTGACGTGATCTACGCCGACGGGGCTATGCCGACGGCAGCCGTAGGCATAGATCTATGCCGACGGCAATGGACCTATGCCGACGGCCCTGGGCCGTAGGCATAGCCCGCGAGTCCGGTGGTGATAGATGCATTTTAAGTATAGATTCATTCATTTTGCTCTATATGTAATCCACCTAGTGAAATCCCTACAAAGATTTATATTTAGGAACGGAAGGAGTAGTTGCGTGATGAAGGTCAAATATTACGCGGCACTCAAATTCAAATGCTACAATTGTTCCAGCCTGCAGTTTCATCAGGTTCTTGTAGTCCTTGCACTGGAGTCAGATCACTCGCTACCTTTATCACTGGAAAGTGCAGTATTAACAGTTTAACACTGGGACAACAAGTACAAAAACAACAGCACCAAAGGGCATATCCATATCTAGCATTTCTAGATATAACATCAAAGGAGTATAAATGAGCACCTGATCCAGTTATAGATACTAGCAAAAAGGCCCGTGCGTTGCAATACAACACGCGCCAAGTTAACCTTTGACCAGCTCAAAACACAGCTAAAGGATACTGTACTCACTTCTCTAAGAAGAAACATATTCCATCAGAAGAAAGATTAATAAGTAAATGAGTAAAAAAAATCTGCCTCAAGTACTTGTTAGTTATGCAACCACGATGACAATCTATACACTGATAGGATACTCATAACCTGGCTGGTCCAAATTCAAGACTCAATAGCAGTAGCAGCAATTCAAAGCTCTTATCTACCACCTGGTAGGTCATAGCAATAGCGGCTAACTAGATGAGGAATCTCACCTTGGATGTATGTAGTCAGTGTCCTCAAAATTAAACTTGCTAGACTACACACTGCTAATTAGAACAAAGTTTGCAGGTACAAACAATAAAACAAATAGGCACACTGTAGACTGTGTTGGCATGCAATACAGGTTGGTAGCAGGTATTTCCAAACATAACCGTACAAAGATTATCGCAAATAGTTAGGATTTCGTAGCAAATATAGGAGCACCTGAACCAGTTAAATAGAGCATTCTAATTCAGTACGCAATAAACAACCGACTGAAAACACGGCTTGTGGATACTACTACACTTGCTTCTCTAAGACAGATTTTATGCCGACGGACCAAGTTGCCACGATGCAGCTCACTCTTCTTTGATCCAAGACTGAGGTGGCCTCTCTGCTCCAAGAAAAACAGAACATAGATCAAGATAGAGATTTAATTAAGCATAACAAGATCTAGACTATTTAGAAGCCAATCAGCTGTACAATGGAAATCAAATATTAGCCGGTACTAAGTCAAAATGATACAAATAAATATTGACACCCAAACAGATTTATTTACAGTTCACCCACTAAAACATACTAATTGGTCATAGAAGAAGGCAAGATGAACATCACCCAACTACCCTACATGTTTTTAGCTAGGTTGCACTTTGCACTTTTCATAAGTACAGGAAAAATGTACTGTCACATATTCATAATTGAAATCCATGTGAGAGACAACATACTTCAACATACAGACATGGAAGTTGGTTCCATTGTATCCAGGAGGCCAGATCATCCTAAATTGACAGATATTATATGTGTGGCTCATTTCCTGTCAACTCATGCACTTTACACAGCACCTTGCACTTGATATCTCGGTAGAGTATGCATCGATCCATTTAGATCGATACAAGCAAAAAAATAATAGCATTTCGTTTACGCACATAGTGATTAGCAAGCATCAATAACTTTTATTATACTTCTGATATGGATTCAGTCTATTTCAATAATAAATAATGATATAGTTTAAACTCTCGTAAGGGTATTGGCCAAGGAATGGAAATGGAACCCCCCTCGACTTGCATTGCCCTAACATGACCATTCTGACAAAGAAACAGAAAAAATCAATTTAGTCACAAATATCTTGCCGACCTTGAAGCACACCAATGATATCACATCAAGCATTTACCATAAGGAAATGTAATGAATTCAACAGAAGAAATCACTCAAGGAGGTATTACCTGCAATGTAGAAATTTGTATACGGATAATACATTCGGAAGTGTGTGCATTCTCTCCTTCCAATATATCTGAACTGCACCGACTCGAGCTGCAGGATGAAATCATGAGAATCCGAAGACAGAAATATCGCATTTGTGTCCTCATCATAGCCTGCCAAGAGGATGACATTTTTCCTGCGTGCGGGTCTTGAAAAGAGCTCATCCAGTTGAACACATTTCTGCAGCACCCATGAGACAATACCATCACCATTTGACTTCCTCCCCCATAACTGAATGCTCAGTTTTAACTTTGAAAGAACCGCAAGGCCAAGGCAATTATACTCTCCTCGTAAGATCTGGAAGGACATGTCGACGCTAGAACCAGTAACATGGGCATATGTTGTCGGCTTCTCAATTACAACAAGGGTCTGCCTTTCACAATCAAACTCAAGGATGTTTGCTCCAGAGAGCAACCAGTAAAGTGCATTCCCAACTATGACGCTGGGCCTTGCCACATTAGCAATCTTGCATGTACCCGTTATGGATATAATATCTCCCCATGTATTAGACTTGGAGTCGTAGAGGCAAACAGACACCTTTGTTTGGTTAGCGAAATCTTCCTGGCACACCAGTACCAGTTTGAATGTGTTCAAGCAGTTCTCGTTGTGCAAGTGCTGATGCACGTCGCGGGCAGAACACATCACCGCTGCGCTCACAACAGAGGTATCGAAGCCATGACTGACTGCTGGTGGAAAAGTCACATGGTTTTTGCCCCCGGTGGTGGGTTCCCAAATGATGGCCTTATGGCGTGCGCGGTCGAGGACGAGGGTGATGCCATCGCGGCAGCCAAGGAAGACGCCACCTAGAGAATAAGGACCAGACAGGTTCTCCGGCAACGCTACGGCGATGAGGTCCAACTGGTCCGAAATTGGAGTGAAGATGGGTGCTTCATTAAATTGTTGGTAGAAGAAGCCGAGGAGCTTCCAATGGTGTTTGCGGAAGCGCCCGAGGAATTGGGGGTCGAAGAGGATGCGGCGCCATCGCTTGTAGATGAGGGAGGCGTTGCGGAGGGAGGATGGCTTCGGAGTGAGGCGGAGGAGGATCTCGATTAGGAGGTCATCATCACTGAGCACCTTGGACACAGGGTCAGTTGGTGTCAAAGAACACCCAGGCCTGGCATCAACCCTGAAATGCAGCAACAGCCACAACAAATCAATGAATGCGGATGCATATATAACTTCACATTCATCCGGCGGACCAGCCCAATAGACACAAAGTGAAGGGAGAAATTAGAGGTCTTACCCTTGGGGAATCTCAACAGGTTCCATCCTATCTGTCGCAGCACCCTCTTCTTTCTTTGCCTCAGCTGTCAAATCAAAGAAATGCAGGGTTTAAGAGTGGGAATCAAGCAAGGTTTTCCACTAGGACAAAAGAGAAATCGAAAAAATTACAAGGAGATGGAGAAGGGGTGGCCTGACATCAAATCTTCAGTGTCTGCGATCATATATATAACCCTTATTACTTGCACACCTGATCATTTGCCATATTACTTTGTATCTATTAATCATTTGCCCCAATATTACATTTGGTCTATCGATCATTTGCCCTATAATACCGCCCGACCCCATTAATCAATTTCCACATATTAGATTGATCTTTTGTCCCGTATTACCTTGCCTTTAATCATTTCCCCCGTATTAGACTGGTCCATTGATAATTTCCCTCATATTACACGCACAAGAGAACAGGCCTATACCTATAACTTAATTCCTAGTAATTTTATTGTCTCTGTTTGATCCTTAGCAAATGGATCAAACTCACGGTTCTGCAACCCAAACAACAATTAAAAAACAGTAAGCATCAATTGTTGACCGAGAGGAAGTGTAGTGCTACAACAAGGTTATGTGGTACTGCCAATTTCAAATCCAAATCTGGTCTTTGCTTATAATCAAACTGCAACAAACTTAATGACAAATCTGGCACTGCAAATGTAAAGCAAAGTTGGTAACCCGGTGGAGGCCGGCGACCGGCGCGGCTGCGGGAGGGAGGAGGGCGACCATTACCTGGCCGGTGACCCGGTACAGATGGAGATGGCCCCACCTCCTCGCACGGCTGTTCCTCTCTCCTTCCGATCGGACACCGCCGCCAGCGAGCTGGGAAAGAAGAGAAAGGAGAAGAAATCTGTATGAGATGGGAAAGGAGAGGAAGGAGAAGGGGTAGACTGACCTCGATTCGTGGGTTGCTGCCGGCGACGGGGCCGATTGAGGTCGGCGGCGGCGCCGATGTTCCTTCCTCTCACTGCAGTGGAGAGAGAGAGACTGCGGAGGGAGGACAGAGGGGAGAAAACTGCAGGCGTGCAGTGTGACAAGCCAGGCCCTACTACAATCCTGGCCTGGACAAGCCCGGCCCACTGTCAATTTCTTTTTAAGAAAAAACTGCCTATGGCTTTGCTGGGTCTCCAATCCAAAGCCCATCTTTCCACGCAAACCTTACTTCGTCTGATTTGTTTCTCAAAAAAAATTGTGTGATAGCGGATAAAAAATACTTCTACAACCTGTACTCATGGAAGACATGGTCTGGTATTTGTTTCGCGAAGAGCAGATTGAGTGTTAACATGAAAAAAATTACGCAGGAAATCGTTCGGGGAGGCGCGGTGAGGCTTGCACTTTCATCTTGGGATACAGTTATGCATTTATACCATTATTACTGGTGAGTGCAAAGATATCCGAGTGAGGAAGATGAATTAACAATATCCAGTGGGACACTGTGTTGATCTTCGATGTCTTCTCCTGTGGTCCGTCGATGAATCTAATAGCGCATGATAATACTCCATCGATGAATCTGGGTGAGTAATAATCCTACGCTCGCGCAAGATCTATCTAGAATATGCATAGCAACGAGAGAGGGAGAGTGTGTCCATGTACCCTCGTAGACTGAAAGCGGAAGCATTTGCTCAACGCAGTTGATGTAGTCGAATGTCTTCTCGTTCCGACTTATCGAGTACTGAACGTACGACACCTCCGAGTTCTGCACACATTTAGCGAGATGACGCCCCTCGAACTCTTGATTCAACGGAGGGTCGAAGGAGTAGATGAGTTCCGTCAGCACGACGGTGTGGTGACGGTGATGGTGATGTGATCCGCGCAGGTCTTCGCCTAAGCACCGCGAGAATATGAACGGAGGCGTAAACTGTGGAGGGGGGCGCCGCACACGGCTTGAAGTAATTGGTGTGTCTCATAGGGGCGCCCCCCCCCCCATATATAAAGCAGGGAGGGAGAAGAGGCCGGCCTAGGCGCGCCCCAAGTGGGGGGTCCTACTAGGACTCCCACTAGGATTCGCCCCCCCCCCCTTCCTTTTTCCGGAGGGAGAAAGGGGGAAGGAGAGGGAGTAGGAGAAGGAAAGGGGGGGCGCCACCCCCACCCCTTGCCAAATTCGGTTTCCACCTAGTGGGGGCACGCCAACCCCTTGTGGGCTGGTGTGCCTCCCTCCTGTGGCCCATATGGCCCATATCTTCCACCGGGGGGTTCCGGTAACCCCTCCGGTACTTCGGTTTTTACCCGATACACTCTGGAACCCTTTCGGTGTCCGAATACCACCTTCCAATATATCAATCTTTACATCCCGACCATTTCGAGACTCCTCCTCACGTCTGTGATCTTATGCGGAACTCCGAACAACCTTCGGTCACCAAAACACATAACTCGTACAATACGTATCGTCATCGAACATTAAGCGTGCGGACCCTACGGGTTCGAGAACTATGTAGACATGACCGAGACACCTCTTCGATCAATAACCAATAAAGGAACCTGGATGCTCATATTGGTTCCCACATATTCTACGAAGATCTTTATCGGTCGAACCGCAATGTCAACATACGTTATTCCCTTTGTCATCGGTATGTTACTTGCCCGAGATTCGATCGTCGGTATCTTCATACCTAGTTCAATCTCGTTACTGCCAAGTCTCTTTACTCGTTCCGTAATGCATCATCCTGCAACTAACTCATTAGTTACATTGCTTGCAGGGCTTCATATGATGTGCATTACCGAGAGGGCCCAGAGATACCTCTTCGATACTCGGAGTGACAAATCGTAATCTCAATCTATGCCAACCCAACAAACACCTTCGGAGATATCTGTAGAGCATCTTTATAATCACCCAGTTACGTTGTGACGTTTGATAGCACACAAGGTACTCCTCCGGTGTCCGGGAGTTGCATAATCTCATAGCCTGAGGAATATGTATGTGACATGAAGAAAGGAGTAACAATAAAACTGAACGGTCATTACGCTAAGCTAAACCGGTGGGTCTTGTCCATCACATCATTCCACTAATGATGTGATAATGTTCATTAAATGACAACCCATGTCCATGGCTAGGAAACTTGACCATCTCTGATAAACGAGCTAGTCTAGTAGAGACATACTATGGACACGATGTTTTGTCTATGTATTCACACATGTATCAAGTTTTTGGTTAATACAATTTTAGAATGAATAATAAAAATTTATCATGATATAAGGAAATACAAAATAACAACTTTATTATTGCCTCTAGGGCATATTTCCTTCAGCAAGAGCTACCAGTATCATGCCTGGAGTGTAGGAGCTCATATAGGGTAGGACGCTAAAGGAGACTCCAGACTCATCAACCTTCTTAACCTGCCCAGAATTGAGCTTGGTCGTGAATAAGCCACCACCTGAGCTAAAGAAGATGATACCCACACCTTCCGCAAAGCTGCCTACAAATTATTTGTCATTGGGATTGGCAACAAGTATTGTCGGAGGACGCCGGATAGGGGAAGTCGGGCATGGAGGTGGTGGATGCGAAGCGGGGGGTGGGCGGGCCCAATTGGCAGAACATGAGACGGTGGAGGAGGCCGAGGAGGGGAGGGGCACCGTGGAAGGCGCGGTAGCTGCGGAGGAAGCCGGGGTCGCAGATGATGTGGAGCCACCGCTTGCAGACGAGGGTGGCGCGGAAGAGGTGCTTGGGCTCGTCCGGTGGGAGGCGGAGGAGGATCTCGGCGGTGGCGTCGTCGACTAGCGGCGACGGCGGCGCCATGGTGCGGTCGTCGAGGGTTTGGGTGGGGATTGGGAAGAGTCAGAGCAGAGCAATCTACTCTACTAGTCGGTTGGGTTGGAGCAGAACCGGGTTGAGCTCAAGAGTTGTCTCACCGTTCTATCGTAAAAAAATGTCGTGTTCACGTGTGGGCTACAATTCGAATGCGCAAGCATATGTTCTTTTCAAATTTTCTGAACTTCAATAGTTTATTTTTGTTTTTTTTAAATAGGAGTATTATATAATTATTATCATGTCACAAAATTTAAATATTAAACTCACACTACTACATACTCAAAAAAACTAAAAAAGGACTCACACTATTACGTGCATGCAAAAAAAAATATTCACACCACTACCAATACCAAAGTGAACTGCCAAAACGCTTTATATTTAGAGATAGAGGGAGTATTGTATAATATTTTCATCTCAACCGGCTTAAGTAGGCCAACTGCTATATGTGATGATCATTGTATCCCATTCCAAAAGGGAGAGTCATGTCTGGCGGCAGCAAAGACCAGCAACTTAGGGAAATACTTTACCTTAAGAATCCTCGCCCAAAGGTCGAAGGAGTTTTGCCTCTGCTTCTAGATCTTTTGGTAAGTAGCGTCACATTCGTTACTTTCAGACTAACGATATATATATACTAGAAGAACGCCCGTACGTTGCATCGGGGCCACATTAATTTTAAAAGTTCAATATTAATCATGTTAATATTACATTTAATATTCTCATACATATCAAATGACATTGACGACCTTTTTTACCATTAAATTCTCACACACACGCACACACTCTCCTTCCCTCTTCCTCACTCTCTCCCCCTCTCCCTCTCTCTCTCTAACACACACACATATCCATCTTATTGGGTACGGGACCATAATCCATCTATTTCACACACACAGACGGTAGTGCATAACAATATGGATTATGTGTATTATATTTGCCACCACAACTGAGGGAATTAATTTCATGTAAATCGGCTAGCCACAGCTCCATGACAAACAATACATCTAAATTCTCAGTGTTATTTTTATGTAATATGCATTATCTTTATACTATTTCTTGAATGTGTTCAAACTATTACTTGAACTTGCTACCACCAAATGATATCTAAATTCTCTCTCTCTCTCTCTCTCACACACACACACACACACTCTCTCTCTCTCTCACACACACACACACACACTCTCTGATATTATGGGACCAAAAACTTTTACCAATTATCATACTATTACTTTTGTTGTTCACAAAATGCGGCGAGGTA